AGTCAAGTCAGCATTCCTGTCAGCAAGGCATTGCTGCAGGATCAGTGTGCAGGGGCGGGGCGGGGCGGAGGCGGGGTGGGGTGGGGCGGAGGCGGGGCGGGGCGGGGCGGGGCGGACCTTGGAAACAGCTCGTCCCACATGGAGTTCTACACTCAATGGAGAAACACTGAGACCCCTCAAAGTCAAAAGAAACTTCTTTAAAACTCCTGTGGTGGCACTGTGGCACTCCTGTGTGGCACTCCTGGCACTGTGACTCAACATCTTAAGCTGCCACCTAAGAGCCCCATGGGCATGTCAGTTCCCGTTCTGGCTGCTTTTCTGATCCAGTGACCTGCTAATGATCCTGGGAAAGCAGCGTAGGATGGCCCACACTGCCACCCATAGGAGACTCAGATGGAACTCCAGGCTCCCGGCTTCCGCCTAACCCTGTCTCAGCTGTTTGCGGCCATCGGGGAGTGAACTAGTAGACAAAAGACTCCTTTTTCTGTTGTTTTCTCTCTCTCTCTCTGTGTATTTAAAAAAAAAATTAAATCCTTTTTTTAAAGAAAGAAACTAAGACCACAGTCTTTAAAATTATGCCATAAAAAGCAATTTAATGTTTGAAATGTGATGTTGATTTGCTATCCATTCCTCCCCAATTCTGAGTATATTTGAAAATCAGATTTTCAAAAATAAAAATTGGTCTAGCATTGGATTCAGGAAACTATTACATAATAAAAACTGCCATGAAATTCTTACTATGACCACAAGAAAATATCTGGCTGTGTTTTTGAAAAGAAATACAATAAATCTGCATGCTAATTTGGGTGGGATTGACAGCCTTATTATTTGAGTCTCTAATCCCTGAGCAGTGTGTCTCTCACTTGTTTAGGTCTCATTTAATTTCTTTTATCAGAATTTCATGGCTTTAAGTACCCAAGTCTTATATATGTTTTGTTAGACTTACATTGAGCATACTTCTTGTATTTAGTGATGGTAAATGTTAGTACATTTTAAAATGTCCTCTCTATCCTGTTGTCTTTATGCTCTGTAGTGATAACTGCTTTAGTCAAGATATTGATAATTGTGTTGTCTTTTTCTAAGTTTTAATAGTGGTTTGTCAATTTTATTGAACTTTTGCAAGAATCAAGTCCTCATCTCACTGATTTTATCTATTGCTTTTCCTTTTACTTTATTGCTGATCTTCATGATCTTCTTTTGTTTTAGATTGAGTTTGTTCATTTTTTAAATTCTTGACATGGAAGCTTACATTATTGATTTCAGACTTGTTTTCTTTTCTAATGTACACTTTAATATAAATTTCCTTCTCAGCACTGTTCCAGCTGTACCCCATGGATCTAAGATACTTTATTTTCATTCAGATCAATATATTTTTATTTATTTGAAAAGCATTGGGGGAGGGGAGGAGGTAGAGAAACTTCTGCTTGCTGGGTCACTCCCTGAATAGTGGCAACAGCTAGATCTGAGCCAAGCCAAAGCCAGCACCCAGGAGCTTAGCTGTGTCTCCCAGACGAGTGGCAGGGACTGAAGTCCTTGGACCATCTTCTCCTGTCTTCATGGAACATTCAGGCAGCTGCACTGAAGCAGAGCAGTGGGACTCAAACCAGTGCTCCACAATGGGATACAGGCTTCTCAATCATCAGCTCAAGCTGCTGCATTACAACATTGGCTCCTGTTCAATGTAATTTTAAATTTCTGAAGACGTTTTCATTCATAGATTTTTACAAGTGTTTTGCTTAGTCTCCAAATGTTGGAGATTTTTCTGTATCATTCTGTTACTCATTTATAAGTAGATTCTATGGTTTTGTGTGATTTCCATTCCTCTAAATCTATAGAGTTTGTTTTATGGCTCAGGATGTGCTCTGTCTTGATATATGTCCATAAAATCTGGAGTGGGGAGGGGAAATGCATGTTCTATTGTTCAAGTCCCCTGTAAATATTGATGAGATCCTATTGGCTGATGTTGTTGTTGAGCTATTTTGTATTCTCCCCAATTTCCTACTTACTTGCACTATGGGTTGTTGGAAAGGGATACTGCGTTCTTCACCCATATCCATGAATTTATCTCTTTCCAGTTCTTTTTGCTTCACATGTTTTGTAGCTCTGTTACCTGTTTGGCTTTGCTATGTATATTGCTGGCTGCACTCATTATAAGTTTGAAAGCTCTAATCCATTTTATAGTTTTGTTTACTCTGAATATGTTAATACCCTATGTTAATACCTTACCTGGTTTTAACATAGGCATTTTTAATAAATGCTCTCTGTCTGCAGCTTTCATAAAAATTTTCTTGATCAAGAATTTTTTCTGCCTTTAGTTTTAGAATTTAGATTATAATATGCAATATAAATTTCTGTTGGTCTTTTGGGGATTCATTTGCAAAAATTTGGAAAGTTATAAAACTTAATCATAATATGATTATTTTTAATATTTGCCATCCCTGCTCTTTTTCTACTTTTTTCCTGGGATTCCAATGCTATGAATGTTAGATCTTTTTGGTCTAGTCCCATAGGTTCATGAGGCTTTCTGCTATTTTACAAAAATAAATTTTCTAAGGTTGAATAATTTTTATTATCTTCTAGTTCACAGATACTTTCCTTTGTGCTCTCTTTTATGTTTTTTAACCTTACAATATTTTAGTTTTGTCATTGTATTTTCTAGTTGTAAAATTTCCAAGAGCAGGCACTTCAGTTAAGGCACTGGTTCAGTTGTCCATGTCCTACATTGCAGAACCTGAGTTTGATGTCTGTCTCTGTCTGCTGACTCCAGCTTCTTGCTGATGCAAATCCTGGGGGTTATCAGATGATGACTCAAATAATTGGGTTTCTGCCACCCACATAGGAGACCTGGATTGGCTTCCTGGTTCCCAGAGCAGGCCATTGCAGACATTAGGTAAATGAGCCACTGGACAGGAGCTATCTCTTTGTCTTGATTCTCTGCCTCTCAAATTTTTAAAAATGTAAACAAAATTTCTTCTTGATTCTTCATTGCTTTTATTTCCTTGCTGAAATTCTTTGTTTCAAATGTGCTCATAATTATTTATTGAAGCATTCCATTATGGCTGCTCTAAATCTCAGATAAATGTAAAAATTCTCTTCATTCTGGCATCTGTTCATTGTCTTTTTTTTTTTTAAAGATTTATTTTTATTATTTTTTATTGGAAGGGCGGATATACAGAGAGGAGAGACAGAGAGGAAGATCTTCCGTCCGATGATTCACTCCCCAAGTGAGCGCAACGGCCGATGCTATGCCGGTCCGAAGCCAGGAGCCTCTTCCGGGTCTCCCACACGGGTGCAGGGTCCCAAAGCTTTGGGCCGTCCTCGACTGCTTTCCCAGGCCACAAGCAGGGAGCTGGAAGGGAAGCGGGGCTGCCGGGATTAGAACCGGCGCCCATATGGCATCCCGGGTGTTCAAGGCGAGGACTTAACCACTTGCACCACCGCGCCGGGCCCCTCATTGTCTTTTTCACTCAGTTTAAGGCATTCTTATTTTTTTGGTGTTCAGTGAGTTTCTGACAGCTGGAACAGTAGACCTCATGTTGACCTGTGTGTAAAACCCCTTGTCAGGTTACATTTAATATCATTTCATAATTGCTGATAAAAAAAAAAACTTCCAGTTGGGGCTTATTCATTCATTCTCTTTCTCTTTCTCTCCTCTCCCTCTCACCCCCACACACAAATGTCACATGAGGGGCTTTTTTTTTTTTAAAAAAAGATTTATTGGAAAGTCAGAGAGGAGGAGAGACAGAGAGGAATATCTTCTGTCCACTCATTCACTCCCCAAGCAGCTGTAATGGCCAGAGCTGAGCCAACCCGAAACCAGGAACCTGGAGCTTCTTCCGGGGCTCCCCATGTGGGTGCAGGATCCCAAGACTTTGGGCCATCCTTGACTGCTTTCCTATGCCACAAGCAGGGAGCTGGATGGGGAGTGGGCCTTCAGGATTAGAACTGGTGGCTAAATGGGATCCCGGAGCATGCAAGGCAAGGACTTTAGCGACCAGGCTACTGCTTCAGGCTCAGGAGGGGCTTCTTAAAGAAAACATAGACGTCTTTCCATAGGTGTCCAAAGTATGACGGCTTAATTTCTATTTGTTCCTTGCTCTTGAAATGTCATGCTGCTGAGTCATGTTTAGTCATTCCCTCAGAGCTCAGTTAGGTTAATTAGACACAATGTGGGTAGGATGACATTACAAGAGATAAGAGAAATACAGGGCAAGAGAAAGAGTCTAATAGAATGTTGTTGCCTAAGACTGAATAGGATTGACCAACAATAGAACAAAAATCTGCCACATTAGAGGCCAGCGAGCTCTTAGATGGCAGGGCTCTACACAGTGCTCAGCGCTGGCACTGGTAGTATAATTACAAGCACCTGCTGGCCATACAGGAAGGGACAGCACAGAAGTTTACAACCTGGGGAGAACTTTGGAGTGACCTTTGCAAAAAAACGGTTCAAAGAACATCAGTTCCATGAAAGGTTGCAGGAAAAAAAAAAAAATCAGAGCAGGGGACGTTGTTGTATGTGTCCTAAGCTGCTCTGTTGCAGGCCTCTTCAGAGCTTCTAAATTTTTAAAGTACACCGTGACCTGCCGAGAGAGAAGACAGGATTTAAGGTTTCAAAAGCTGCCCCCCTCCCTTTTTTTGGTAATGGCTTATACCCTTTCCTAATACTGGGATAGGACGACTAAAACAAACAGGACTCAGAGCTGCCTCCCCAACTGGAGATTTTTCTGTTTCTCCAAAAAGTGCTGGATACTTGCTTCCAAAGTGACTGGAGAGCCACATGTCTAAATTTTCTCTGCAAATCTCCATCTGCAAAGCCAAGGATTTTCCTTTCTCTCCCCAACCCTCCACACTGTCAGCCAATCAACAAACTGCTTCATGAGAGGAAATCGCAGCTATTTTATGTACTTTTTAAAAAATCAATGCTCAGTTATAATCAGATTAGAAAACGACTTGCAGGGTTAGGTGTCTTTCTGGCTGCTGCACGCTGATAGGGTCTGTGCTCAGTAGCGTCCCCTCTGTGACCCGCCACGTGGCTGGGCTTCCGGGGCCGCTGGATCGTAGTGGTTGTTGGGCAGCTCCCTGGAGTCGTCTCTCCTGCAGACCCGAGGTACATTGTGGAAGTCCTGCAAGGCTGGGTCTTTCCCTCGGGCCATCTGCTCCATCCTCTGCTCCTTCCTCTTAATGGCTTCCTTGATGCCCTCCACGTGGCACTTCTCCTCCTTCTCCGCCCTTAGCTTCAGGACCTGGTGGTTTTTCTCCCGAAGCGCGTGCAGCTCGCGGAGGTGCTGCACCTTGTCACTGGCGCTCTTGTGAGCCCGGTTCCGGGCCTGCCGGATCTTCTGGTCGCTCAGTTCCCCCAGCACCCTCTTTCGCACCTTCCTCTGCTCTTCCTCCTCTCCTGCGCGCCACCTGACCTGCTGGAACTGCTCCGCCTCCTTCCGGGCCTTCTCCCTCAGTACCCGGTACCGCTCCTTCATCAGGCATTGCTGGAGCTCTTGGGACTGCTGGCAGCTCTGCTCCAGGGACAGCTTCCGAAGCAGCTCCTCAGCCTTGGCCTGGCAGTCCAGGAGCACCTTACGGGCCTGGTAGTTGACCAAGGAGCTCAGGTTGCTGTTCTGGATCTTTTTCTGGTCCTCCACAGTGTGCTGGTGCCTTTTGTGAGAAGCCTCCTCCAGCCTCCGCTGCAGCTGCACGCTGCTGTGCTCCCGCAGGCGCTGTACCTGCTTCTCTTGCTCCCGCAGGCGCTCCAGCTGCTTCTTCTGCTCCCGCAGGAGCTGCACCTGCTTCTCCTGCTCCCGCAGGCGCTGCACCTGGCCCTGCTTGGGGTGCTCGGCCTGGGAGCGCGCGCCTTCGGGCTGCTCCTGGCGCTGGTTCTCCTGGTCGTCCTGCGGCGCCTTCCACCTGTTTTCCGCAAGGATCCTGTTCTTCCCGGGGCTGCTGCGCCTGAGGCTGTGCGGCTCGCGGCGCCCGTGGGTCCTTCGCTGTTCCTTCTCCTGCCACTGCTCCTGGCTCTGTTGCAGTAGCAGTTGTCTCTCCCGCTCCAGGGTCACCTGCACCTTCTGGTCGGATTGTTTCAGCTCCTCCCAGGCGAGGGCCGCCTGCTGCTGCAGTTCCCGCATCCTCTGCGCCTTCTTGAGTCGGGTCAGCACCAGGGCCACAATCTTCTGGTCGCGCGAGGACATCACCGCCTCCTGCAGCGTGCTAGTGAGAGCCTGGCTGTGCTGGCTCTGCGTGTCCCTGCTGGACACAGAGGGCTGCGAGCCGCGACTGCCCACCGACTCCGCCCGATCGCTACCCGCTCGCTTCTGGGGGCATGTACAGGCCTGTGTCCTAAACTCTTGGGAAGGCACGAAAGATTTCTCGGTGGGAACTGGGGAAGTCGACCAGAGACCCCCTTGTCCGCACGTACGCACTGCCCACTGGTCTCCGCTCGGCACCTTTCCTCCCCCGAAAGTTTCGACACTCAAGGGAGTGTAAGTTCCGCTGGGGTACGGTGGCGGCGAGTCTCCCTGGGCCGGGTTACAGTGCCGACAGGGATGCGACTGTTGCGGTTGCGGCGAGGATGCTTGCTGCCAGGCCTGCCTGGACTTGCCCCCTGTCTCACCCCAGGCCTCTTCTAGGCGCCGGCTGCGGGATGGGTGCTTCCTGGCGCGATCGGGCGGCCTTGGGGTCACGTCGGTGAGACTGCGGCTCTCCCGTGGCGAGGCACTGCACGCCCGCTCACGAGTCCGTGTCGCTGAGGGCGAAGAGCTCCGGTGTAGCCAGGCTGCTGCCGCTTCCCTCTCGGCGCCCGCAGTCCTGGCCCAGGAGTCCAGGGCTGGCTCGGTTTTGGGTGCCGGGCCGCCCATCCCTCCGTGTGCTGGCGCGGGCTCCCAGAGGTCCCGATATGGCCTCGGGGAGAGGTGGCCAAAGCCCGCCATACTCCTTCCGGGCGCCCCAGTGTCTGTGCCAGAGGAAGATCCCAGGGCTCCGGGGGACCCTGCACCATCCGCCCCGCCCTCCCCTCCCAGGGTCCTGGCCGCCTGTGACGCCGGCCACTTCACAATGCGCATGGCCCCTCCAAGGTCCCCCACCGGTCTCAGTTCAGGCCCCTGCCTGCCTGCGCCCCACCAACACCCTGTGCAGGGAGCAACAGAATTCGAGGCAGGCAGCCGAGAAAGGGGTTTGTAGGCGATTGGAGATGACATTGAAGTTCAGGATGCATGGTGACACTGCCCACATCCCTGGTGTTTCAGGCAGGACTGTGCGTTTACATGTCCCGCAATAACTCTTCAGATACTCTAATTCCCTTAAGACTCAGAATGGAGCAGGGCCGGGAGGGGGCGGTTGCGGAGGTACAGGAGGAATCTCCTGGATCACTGTCCCTGCCTGCAGGTGTCCAGATGAAACACGTCAATCATAGGCGACACCACCCCTGCCCATGAGCAGGCCAAAGCTAAGTATGCTTTAGTGTTCGCTTTCTTAAACAGAAGAGCAGAAGAAAGATGATTCCAAGTGTCCCCCCCTCCAATATAGCAGTTAGTGCTTTTGTCAAAATATAAATGCCCCGTGCCCATTGTGAAATACAGTGTGCCCTGATATTGGTCTAAGTTGATAGAGGATTGAGTCTGGGTAAGCTGGAAACCTATCTATGGAATTCTGTCCTCCCACTTGTCAATCAAACCACCTCTTTTTCCTGGGAACCAAGTAGGGCACATAGGAAAATGCGGGAATTAAGCTCCACATGGAACACAAAGTTCCCAGGTGGCTTGTGGCCTGCAGTGGCACCACCTCCCACCTCACAGAGGCCCACCGAGAGCTCTGCCCCTGTCTTCTGTGGCTGGAGGTGCCGCAGGTACCATCTCTCCCTCCCTCTCTCCCCTACACCTCCTCCCTCTGGCAATCCTCCTGCCCACTGCCCACTCACAACGAGCCTTTCTCTGGGTGGGGCAACCCATGCTCATGCCTGTGTTCACTTGTTCACCTTTTGAGTAAATGTTACCACCGCAGATGTGTACCACAGATGCTTCTACACTTAGATTGCTTGTACAAGACAAGAGTCTGGAGGAAAATTAACACACCCATGGAATACGCCCAAGCACCAGGAAGCAATCGCATTATTTCTTGTTCTTTTCCTCTAAATCTCTTTCTGTGGCATCCAGGGTTCTTAGGAGAAGCACTGGCCTTGGCTACGCAAAGGTGTATGAGTCTCCTGCATGATTTTGGGTAAGTAACTTTCTGACCCTCCAGCTCTGGAAAAGTAGAAAGGTGGAGTGCAGTGGCTGATAGCAGCAGTTCTGAAAAGCTCCTAAGGTTAGATGAAATGCTTCATTGAGAGCCTGGCGCTATAAGACATTCAGTAAGTATTATTTTGATGTTCAGTTAGGCTTAGGTTAAAAGTTTAAAGACTTAAATATGTGTATTTTCAAAATTTTCTGTATGCTCTTAGCTTAAAAAAGACAAATGCAGTTAATGCTGTCTTAAACCACTCTGGGTGAGTGTCTAGGCTGCTTAGGGGCATCTTGCAGGCTCTTTCTTGTCTAGGCCATGGATCCTTGCTGAACCTCTTCCCTTCTCCAGGGTTTCTGTGGTCTGAATGTTGATGTTTGCTTCTTGCCAGCATCCCTGGATTGATGTCTAACCATCAGTGCAATGGCAACAAGGGGTGTGCCCTGGGATGGCACCTGGCACAGTGTTTAAGGTACCGCTCGGGACATGGAATCCCCTCTCAGGATACCTGTGTTCCTGTCCCTGCTCTGTTTCTAACACAGTTTCCTGCTAATGTTCACCTGAGAGGCAGCAGGTGATGACCCAAGAACCTGAGTCTGTACCATCCACAAGCGACATCCAGGTTGAGATCTGGGTTCCTGGCTTTGGCCAGGCCCAGTCTTGTCTGTTTGGAGCATTTGGGAAAAATGAATCAGCAGGTGAAAGATCTCTGTCTCTTTCAAATAAAGAAAACTTAAAACTTAAAACTTAAAACTCATAGCTTCCAGCTATGAGATTAATGTCCTTATCAATGGGACCCCAGAGAACACTCTCATACTTTCTGCTACATGACAGCAGGGAGAAGACCACCATGTCAGCCCTTAGCAGACAGCAAAGCTGCCGTGCTTGGATTTGCCAGCCTGCTTTCTCCATGGTTTGTACATGACTGGACCTGTGGCATTTTGCTCTCGCAGCCCTGAGCAAATCAAGGTGGGACTGGAGGAAACATTCTGGACAGAGTCTTCAAACGTGACCACTCCTTACAGAAGGAGTGAGTATGGCTCACCTCTCCTTCGTAGCAATCCCCAGTGGAGCAGGGCCAGTAGAACTCTCCCTAGGTAAGTTCTGCAATGCGGCCTGATTAACTGATTTCCCTCGATGTTCCTTGTCCTATTGCAGGAATTGTGACTTTACTGCCATCCCCTTCCATGAGAGCATGCTGCCTCTTGGGAATTGCACTTTGAATTGAGATAGGCTTTTAGGAAAATTATGACCAGCTGTATGTTAGAGGGTCATGGCCACCATGTCCTTGGAGCTACCTGGTACCTGGCAGTCCTAACTACAGTGACTGCCCCATCCTGAGGGGCTGCTCCGCCAGGATGGGCATCTCAGCTGTACTCATGAGCATGTTTCTAGTTGACGATGAGAGAAACTGCTTCTCTTCTTAATTTCTATTGTTACCACTCTATGTCCTCCTGGAATTATTTTATATGATTACATTTCTTCATGGGAGGTAAATATTTTAAGACATTAAACCAAATCTGCAATGGGATCATGGTATTATTATTTTTTTAAGTTCAGCAAGCTTTAGACATGAATTTAGCTGTGTTGATCACCGAACATCCTATGGCTCAATTCAAGCTTTAGAAGATATTTTGCACAAACATGTGTGGTTCTGGCTGGGACTCAGGCCATTGTCTGTCAAGAAAAAGCAATGTTGGGGAGCAAGCTTACTGCCCTGAGAGCCAGCAGACTTTCCTGAGCCTGCTCAGCCACCCGAGGAGTCCCCGTCAACAGCCTTTTCGCAGTTTTAGTTTCCTCATCACTGCAAGATCTTCTACAGCCCCAAAGGGAGTGGGAAAGACTGGATTCAGTCAATGCTTCAATCTTTGTCCTGTGAAGCACAAATTAGTTCATGTATGAAAAACACAGTAGTGACTTGCATGTGGTGGCTCTTATACACTGCAGCTTCTAGAACCTTCATCAACATTATTTAAACAACACCAAACCATGGCCAGGTAGAGTTAGACACAAGATTAGTCTGGAGCAGAGCCAGAAGTGGAATCTAAGGGCTTAGATCTCTAGTCCAGCAGCTAGTGGCCTCTTGCTGCCTCCACTGGTTCTTGGAACTCACCCTGGAGCTGTGTGTGCCTCACCTACCTTGATTACTGACAGACTAAAAGACACAGTCCTAAGGACATAATGCACAGGATGCTGAAAGTCCAGACCAGGATTAGAATGACAACATTGCTAGAATAAACAGATCCAGGTAACAGATCAGGCAAGTGACTATACAATCACCTAAACAGAATTCCCAGGGGGAATAAAGGGGCTTGTTCTTTTTTCAAAGATTTATCTATTGGGGCTGGTGTTCTGGTATATCATGTCAAATTGCCATCTAGGATACTGGCATTCCATATAGGCATTAATTTGTGTTCTGGCTGCTCCACTTCTGATCCGGCTCCCTGTTAATCAGCTGGGAAAAGCAGCAGAAGATAGCCCAGTGCTTGGTCCCCAAAACCCATGTGGATGACCTGGATGAAGCTGCTGGTTCCTGGCTTCAGCCTGGCCTAGCCTTGGGCATTGCAACCATTTGGGGAGTGAATCAATAGACAAAGAGTGTGTGTGTGTGTGTGTGTGTGTGTGTGTGTGTGTGTGTGTGTGTGTATGTATGTGTGTGAAATTTCTTTGTTTGAAAAGTCCAAGTGACAGAAAGAGATCATCCATATGCTTGCTGGCTCACTCCACTGGACTGGTCCAGGCTTAAATCAGAAGCCTGGAACTCCATCTGGGTCTTTCATGTGGTTGCAGGGGCCAACTCCTTGGGCTGTCTTCTGCTGCCTTCCCTGGTACAGTGGCAGGGAACTGGATCAGAAGTGCAATGTCCTGGACTTGAACTGGTGCTCTGATATGGGGTGCCAGTATCACAGGTGGTAGCTGAACCTGTTGCACCACAACACTGGTCCCAAAAAGAAGGATTTGCTTTATGTCACCCATAAAGGAAGATTTCCTAAGGGCTAATATTGGAGCTAGATGTGGGAGGATAGAATGAAGATTTCACCAGATGGAGGTGAGCAGGAAGACACATCTGGATGAGGAAGCCTTGTAGGCTACCATGTGGAGCTTCAGATACCTGGCACATTGGACTCATGGTTTGTGCCAAGGGGGTGTGGCAAGTATGTGCAGTGGTGTGGCAGGTAATGAGGCCAGAAAGATGGGCTGGGCTTGGATCCTGCAGGGCCTTGAATGCCAAACCAAGGAGCGTGGGCTCCCCCCTGACAGATGGCAGAGTCCCAGCTGTGTCCAGAAGAGTTCCGGGATTTTTTGGGCTGCTCTGGTCTGCAGGGAGGTGGCCTTTGGCCCTGCTTTACCATGAGCAGTTTAAATTCAATCTGTTCTGTACCACAGGACTCACCGGAAAACAAAAAAGCATGCTTCTGTTTCTGAGAAATGGTTCGATGCCTACTGTGCCACTAAACCCAGGGACTCAGTGACAGCCTTGAAACCAGCAAAGTGGCCCGTGGGGGTCTGCATTCCTGAAGGTCACCCTGGCAGCAGTGTGTGGGGGAAGTTAGGGGTCTGGCTGAGCAATTCTGTGAGCTGTAAGCCAAAGCAAACCAGAGCACGGGCAGGAGATCAGGAAGGGATGGATGGCAAGGATAAGGGACCATGGCCAGAGGACAGATTCCACCTGGAGAAAGGGTTCTGAGAACCTGGGCAGAGGGGAAGAGCC